TATACTATTTTGATGCATATATAAAATAAATATTTCATTACTTTTTCTTATCCTTTTCATATCAATTTAAAAAATTTCAATTAAAAAAATGATAAAAATTGTTTATTTCTCATCATTGCCTTTGAATACTATGAAAATACTGTAATACGCACCTACTTTGTGATTCAAACCCCACGCTTTTCAAAGTACAATGCAACGCTTTTTAAAGTATATACAAGACTCAAGTGTCCACGTCGTTCTTCTCTGGTGGTTGGCCTGGTACTGGGACTGGGAACGTAAAGGCCAAGTAATGTGGTTTGGGCAAACTCGTGACAAGCCGTGCGTACACGTAGCGTAAAACATTACATTAACACGCGATTAGTGATAGTTTCTTTGCTTACTAGATATCTCGTAGCAAAATAGAACTTACAATGAGTTATCTTGAACTACACTTAAGTAAATTTCCAAGAAAATGCCTAAAGGCTCTAAACTTTGTAACACCCCAATTGTGGCGCCGTGGCACCCTAAGGTGCCGCGGCCTCCCGGTTGAAAAACACTGCACTAGTCTATTCAATGCAGTACGAATTTGGTGTTAGTCTTGTCCCTCGGCATCGGAATTTTGTAGTGAAGGGGGCGATACTACGTAACGGTTTTATTGAAAGGGGCGATACTACGTAACGGTTTTAAAGGGGCGATACTACGTAACGGTTTTATTGAAAGGGGCGATACTACGTAACGGTTTTGTTGAAAGGGGCGATACTACGTAACGGTTTTATTGAAGGGGCGATGCTACGTAACGGTTTTATTGAAGGGGGCAATACTACGTAACGGTTTTATTGAAGGGGCGATGCTACGTTGAAGGGGGCGACGATTCGTTAGAGGTTGAGAAACACTATCCTAGAAGCATACTCAACACTTTGAAATCACCACACACCATCCAATTGTGATCTTCATAATGAATGGTAGTAAGAAATGAAGTGCCTTAATGTTGAAAACGACGTTCTGCTTCTGAGCTTCATGTGGTGTTTTCGTGTATATTATCATTATTGCAAAATATTCGATTTGTGCAAAAACTGTGTGTGATACGATGTTTTGAGTACCATTTTCGAATTCAGGAGGTCGAAATACATAAAGAACGCCTACATTTTCGAAAAAAGTTTTTATGACCTTGCAATTCGTTGCATTGTGTTATTTGCCAAGTGTCAATAAATTCACCAAGTCGTGACATTGAACCAAAGTTCAAAGAAATTCAAAGAATAAACAGTTCGGCCAGGTCCGCAATGGGGTGGCCGAGTACAAAGGGGACGGACCGGACATATCTGGATGGACCACCCATGAACAACTGGGAATTTTTCGACTCGACCAGATTCTATTCAGGGTTTTCCAGAGCGGTAGGCTGCCATTTACAATTGATTGAAATGGTAAAGGCTATGCAACAGATGGCAATTTCTCACAATGCTGCCTCCAGGAAAGGGCCTTCATTTTGGAAAGTTTTCCTAGCTTATATTCAGGTGTTAAATACAAATAAAATCAAATTTAAAAAATCGAATTTAGTTATAAATGAGTAAATTAATAAACTAAGTTTTACCAACTTGGCAAAACTTAGTTAATCAATTTCTTTCTTTTTTGACTTTCGAAAATAGAAAATCCTTCTTGTTATATTTACATGTTAGAGCAGTGTTTCTCAACGGGGGCGATATCACCCCCATGTGGGTGTTTTTCCATGTTGAGGAAGCGATTAGTAACAATTTATATTTGGGGAGGCGAAAAACAATTTCCTGGGCAATATAGTAAAATATTACATTAAGAATAATTAGATATTTTATTCGTTATATTGTACAATAATTAAACAAATAACATTATACTAGTTACAAATCTATTCAATGCAGTAAGAATTTGGCCCTCGGCATCGAAATTTTGAAGTGAAGGGCTACGTAGTGAATACTACGTAGCCCTTCGTACGTAGCTTTACGTAGTGAATACTACGTAAGGGTTTTATTGAAGGGGCGATACTACGTTGAAGGAGGCGACGATTCGTTAGAGATTGAAAAACACTGTGTTAGAGGCAGGGCTGGATTAACCCACTTTGGGGCCCTAGACATTTTCTTCTTACGGACCCCCCTTTCTCACACTAGAAATAGAGCACACAAAAAAATATAAAACAATAAATAAAACAAAACTAAATAATGCGAAAAACTAAAACAAATCTTAAATTTTTATTAATAAAAAATATTTAATACACAACAATAAATTTGAGTTTTTCTAGAAAAGTTTGAACAGTTTGTTTATAAATTTAAAATATTGAAATTTGTTTTATTAAATGTCTAACAAAATTTGTTGTAAAATAACAATATTACCTTAAAAAAATAATTGTCATCAAGACTATGTCTTCTTTATAAAATCGTACTGCTTGCTGTGTTACCAGCTTAGAGGTATGAAGGAGTACATGTCAGAAGTTGCAATCTGCACAGAGTATTAAGTGCCCAAATCATGCGCGCATAAAAAAACCTGACTAGGTACGCGGGACCAAGAACCGAGTGAAAGTAAAATACAAAATGGCGTCTCTCTCTACAAACGGGCAAACCGAAGTCAGGTGGTGAGAGTACCACCCACAGTCGTTCAAGGAAATGGACTCTGGCCCTAGGACTGAACACGTAGTATTTTCTTTGTTAAATAAAATTTGTAATCTAATTTTGCGAATTTTGGGAGTGCTTCAAATATAACATTAAAACAGGGTTTTATGTCGTTACAAGTATGTTTTTTAACATTGTCTAGTATAGTAAAATCGCGGGAACAGTAAAAATTTGACGTTATAATCAGGTTAAACTGTATATTGTTTGTGCAAAATAAAAAAAAATAATTTCGGACGATACAATAGCCAGATTATTTTTTTCAAAGACGAGAAATTTTCGTTAGGCATCGACAAAAATTCAACCCGGGCCAACACGCAACGGAGAGAAATTTCGAAATTGGATAGGTTAATTTCATCGAAAATGCATGGTGGACGACCTCGTGGTCGTGGCTGGCGAAGTTTGAAGAAGATTGGAGAATGAGAAAGAGATCCGCTTTGAGCGTCAAAGTGATTCCGCGTAGTAGTGTCTCCGGGACATAGTCGTGTCCCAAATACGGTTTTGCCGTTTTACTTGTTTAATTTAACCTTTTTGGCTAATATTTAAATAATATAATATTTTACTAGTTTTACCAGTATTATACAGTTGTCCAACAGAAGAGTAATCTATCTTATTTACAAATCTTTTCAAAATAGATAGTTCGACCGGGCCCTAGACATTTGTGTCATTTGTCTATGCGATGATCCGGCCCTGGTTAGAGGCATAAAGATAATCCGATAAACTCTATGTAACCATTTTGTCAGGCAAAAACCCACCAAATGCACAACGACAGTATAAAAACGCTGGAAAACAAAGAACCTTTCAGATTTTATACACGCGGCTAAATACGGTTATTTCTACAGAGTATAAGCTTTGCAAAAAAGTTAACAATATTTCTTTATTTCATATGGGTATCTATTTATAAAGGGAATTGAAAACTTTGAAGAGTTTATACGTTTTCCTTTAAAATCACACCGATATTTTTGCAGGTATTTTCTTTCGGAAAATTTTAAATTAAATCCATCAAATTAAAAATTAAACTTTTGAAGATAACAGAAATATTTATTCATTAGTAATTTTCTGAATTTGCTTTTAAAACAAAAAAGTTATACAACAGAATGCCCAAAGCAATATATTTATTAAAACAACACTACTTCCTATCTTATATAAGACACATTTAGAGTAGGATGCAATTAAGATTATTAAAATTCGTTATCGGAGTATAATTTAAAGTTTAGAACAAATGCCATTCTGACATTGTAAACTGTATTATTATAATAAAATATTAACATATTAACAAACAAATATGTATACTCATACATAATTAATTAAGGATAATTGGTTTTTGATATCCATTACATGAAATATGCTACTAATAACTTAATGCACTTAGAAAATATTTTCTTAAATGGAATACATGCGTATTACTAAAATTGACTTTAAGTGGAGTAGAATGTTGACATAGGCAACGCAACAACTCGTGGAAATTTGCCAACAGAGAGATATCTCCCTGGTGGTGACAATGGAGGGAACTGTTCCCTGCTTAGATGTTAGATAAGTGATAAACCCGGTAATCTTCACGTGGTCAGATTTAGCTCAGGCTCGAACCCGAGAACGATATTTAGGGTACAATGACTTCGTCAGAAACTGACGCTCACAGGTTTGATTTTGAATTTGGAAATATTGATTCTATTATTGCCCACAGGGCAGAAAGATTAAACAAACAAAAGTAATAAAATACTTACAATTTAAAATCATGGAAAACTCAAGTAATGAAATTAAAATAATTCTTTATTCCTTAAATGCAGCATCACAAATTCTCGGGTTAAATATATTAAAATGTGACTACCATAAGAATTCATGGAATATTCGATTTTTTGAATTTTATTCAAATTTACTCGAATTTTTTCTTATCCTAAATACTCTGGCATTAGTCTCCACGATATTTTCCGATAAATTCGTATGCGGAGAAGTGTTTAACTTATTCGTAGGTTTCAAATACATCATGCAGTTATTTGTTATTGGTACGATCGTATCCTTAACTTTTCAGTTCTCGTTAATTAAACGAATTCGTTTACAGCTTCCTAGTTGTAAATCTTGCTATGAAGTAGAGAAAACATTTATTACATCCATTGAATTTCAATTTGCAGTTTTCTTCGCAGTCATTGCTTTACTGCAAGTCGCATTTTTCTTCATGCTTGACTTTTCTCTATATTCTGCCATGGAAAAGGCAAATGTAATGGAATTTCTTCTTTGCAATATCGATTGGGCATTATTGTTATTTCTTTTAGTAGGACAAAATCTTTGCACAGTATTTCTTCTTTATTATTATTTTCTGGTTTTGTTCATCGGATTTAACGCATTGTCGTGCAAACTCGATGTAGTTCCTCATGTAAGGGGCATGATCAAAGATCTAATCGTATATATAATCGAAGAACATACAGAATTAATGGAAGACGTTCGAAACGTAAATAATAAACTCGAAATGTATTTTCCTGCTAATTACTGCACTAATTTATATGGGTTCAGTATCCTGATAACAATTTCTTTGTTTTATGATTTACCAGCAGAGTTTAAACTGGCTTCATTTGTCATGATTATAACTGAAATTTTTGGACTTATTATAATTTCATTCTGTTTATCCAGATTTACTTCCTCGGTAAGATTTATTAATGAAATATTTGTACAACCAAATTAATATATAATTTATAATGTTTAATATTCATTTCAGATTTACGGAAATTACAACGAGATTAATAAATTTTCCTCATGCGGATTTTCTCTGGTTTTTAAATTGAAGGTAAATTAAGTGTTTTATTTTTACGTTATTGATAAACTTTAAAGTTATAAACTTTTTTGAGCAGATGCTGAATTTTATGAAGAGATTCGGGAAAACACCCATTGGAATTTCTTTCGGTGGATTTTTTCGGGTCAAACGCAATTTCCCGATTAAAGTAAGTTTCTATTAAATAATGCATTTTAATTTATTATTGTGGATTCTGTCTTCATTCCTATTTTCTTTTTAGATGCTGAGTAGTCTTTACTCTATTCTTTCTGCACTCATCGAATTGGGAAAGAAAAATAAAAGTACGAAATGTACTTCATCACGTTTCCTGAATGCGAGTAATATTCAGAACACATCACTGTATTGAGAACGTTTTAACGTGAATACATAAAATCAACGAAGATTCGTTGAATTGAGGAAACGATTTTCAGCTTAACAAAATACTGCTGATTTTTGTACAACTATGACTAGATATAAAAAAATTATAATATTTAATAACTAGAAGCACTTCTTATATGTATGAACTCAAAAGTAATGTACACTTGATGAGTAGTGTAGAAAATAAAGTTTAAAACTATCTTATTTTTTTAATTTTCAGTCATTATATTGTTAAACATAACCTAACGAAATATTAAAACACTCACCACACTACGGAGCTAATATTTTCTGTACACAGAAAGAACAGATCAGAATAATCACGACACTTGTTTACTGCAATCTTCTGTTGGAAACTAACGCGTATTCAGCTGCTACACGTGAAAAAAAAATTGTGGTAAGCTATTTAGACAGGCACAAACTCATTTTCTCACATATTAATAAGCCTCTTGCCTGTATTACTTAATTACAAAAATCTACTTAGTTAATTATGACTAATGAACAGGCTTATCACACACCCAGTCTATGTAATTAACTAAACCAAAATATATTTCGGTCTTACTTCTTTTATCAGGTAGATGACACTCTATAGACACTCTATATGACAGGGGATGAAAACCAGGACGACTCAGTGGTATTGCCTGGGGTAAAAGAGAGGAGATAGGAAAGTATGTAGAGAAGAGTTGAAGGGGAAAAGTGAAAGAGGAAAGGAAAGGGGATGAGATGGGAGTCTCATGAGCTCCCGCACCAGGTATTTTATTAACAGAATAAATAAGGCAAATGCAACAATTGTAGGTAAAAGAAACAGAAATGACCCGGTTACATCTCGCTGTTTGCGAGTGAGTGTGACAAATGCAAAAAGTGAACTTAACTGATTATATTGAATATTTCGATTGACAACAATTAAATTCCGACAGTTTAAAACATGTGGGAATGAAGTAAAACAGAAGATATAGAATATTTACAATGTAGATGTGAATGGTGCCGAAAACTTAAAATGAGTAGGATGTAAATGGTGAATACAATATGAAGTACAATGGCGAAAAGTGAAAACACCGTATGAAGTGCAAAATCTACACCCCCCGTGCAGAATATAGAAAACAAACAGATATACAAAAGAAAACCACTAGTTAGAACTAACCAGCAAATAACAGCTATACCTTAGCTGATAGAACGAAACCAGCCCATCCAAGAAAAGTAAGATGTTACTGTACTTTAATTATTCGTAATGCGAATGTCCAGAGCACCTGTAATCCTTGCATACTTTACTAGCTTGTTGTAAATATTCTTATTGTCTATAAGTGCCTCTGGTTTGCATGGCCAGTTATATCCTTCCGTTATAGCGGTTTGTAAAAGATCGGAACGTTCTTGCTCGAAGTGATGACACATGAATATAAAATGAAAGTTGTCTTGATCAGACACACCATCACAGTCGCACTTTGGTGTGTTGCTGTGATGGAACCGGTGAAGATACTTTAGAAAGTTGCCGTGTCCTGATAAAAGTTGACACAGAATGAAGTCAACATTAATGTGGTTGTTGTTTAACCTCTGATTGATATTAGGAATAATTTTAAAAGTATTTCTGCCTGTGGTCGCTTCCTCCCAGTTACGTTGCCACAATTGGATTGCGGTCTGATTCAGCAATTTCTTAATAGCTACCATTGGGATCACACTATAGCTAGGGGGTTTGTTGCATTCTGCTGCCTTCTTTGCCAACTGGTCCGCATTCTCATCTTCCCCAATGCCAACATGGGCCTTAATCCATTCAAAATAAATATTTCCTTTATTGTTGTCAATCTCTTCCATGATTTGATGAAGAAGTTGCTCTTTTCTTTTATTTTTAATGCTGAGAAGCGCAGCCCTGCTGTCAGAATATATGTGAACCCTCGTTTTTCTAAGAATTGTATCGTTGTTGATAAAGCTTAGAGCCTGCAGAATTGCATAAAGTTCTGCCTGCATAACAGTACAAAAGTGTTCCAGGCGAAAGATTTCGTTATGTGTAGGCATATTGTTTTTACCACGATAGTATGCAAATGCTGCACCTACCTTTTAGCCAGACTTGGAGCCATCTGTGAATATCCTGTGAACAGGTTTATAATTGCTGTCATCCATGTCTATATTAATATTAATACTAGTAGCCGGATGAATGTTTGGTGGAATGATGTTCCAAATGTCCGTGTTGGGATTTGGACTGAAAAGTTCTTTGATCTGAAGGCTTGGTAGGCACCCAATTCTTAAGTAACAATGTAACTCTTTTTTCTTATTATCATTAATATCTAGATGTTCTAATTCCCATAAGGCATGTTGTTCGAGAGCTGCTATATGAATCGGTTTAATCCCGGTAATAACCAGAAGGGCTGCAGTTGATGTAGTTTTGTATGCCCCAGCAATATTTAATAAATTTATCCTTTGTGCTTTTAGGAGTGTCCTTTTATTGTGAATATGATTAGCAGCATAACCCCACAAAGGAGCACTATAGAGGAGTATGGGTTCAATTGCCTGCTTATATAGACTTGTGAGAGTCCTATTATTAAGTCCCCATTTTTTCCCGCCATATGCCGTAAAAGATTAGACAGTTTCATAGCTTAATTGCAAGCGTAAGTGATATGCGAGTTCCACCTTAATCCCTGGTCCAAAATTACCCCCAAGTACTGCAATTCCTTCGTATAAGGTATTCGAATATTATTGATCTTAACCGAGGGAGGTTTTTTAAGTTGATTACGCCTCGACATCATCATACAGGTGCACTTATTGACATTAATTTTTAATTTATTATTGTTGCTCCAGTTGTAAATGTGTTGAAGTAGTCGATTTGTTTCTTTCTGAATTTTTTCATTATTTCTACCTGCCACCATAATTAAGGTGTCATCCGCATACGCTTGAATTGACCATTGTGCCTCGATGTTATTAGGATTCATACACAGAAGATTATTGTGCACAATATTCCATAGGCCCGGACCTGACCGCGAGCCTTGCGGACAGCCCCTCATCATAGTTGTAATGATTGGATAGTCAATATCATAAACCCCCACCATCCTATTCTTAAGGTAATCCTTTGTTATTAAATACAGATTCTTTGGACATTTAAGAAGTTTTAATTGATGTAATAACGCCGGCCACCACAAAGTATTAAAAGCGCCTTCATAGTCAATCGAGGTAAGTAGAACATGTTGAGATTTATTCCAGGCGTTGTGGACAAATTGCGTAACAGAGTGTAGTGCGTGGCAAGTTGATTTACTAGGGACAAAACCAAACTGCCTGGGGTTCATGAGTTGCTTATTGTACAGGAAATAGTTAATCCTATTGATAATCAACCCGTCCAGTGCTTTGCCCAGGACAGGCAAGAGGCTGATAGGCCTAAAGTCAGTTGCCCTATTATAAGAAGTTTTACCTACTTTTGGTATGAATTTAATTCTTGCTTCTTTCCAAATCTTGGGGAAAGTAGAGGTTTCTAGACATTTATTATAGGTGTATACGAACGCCATTGGGACAGCCCTGTACGTCATTTTCACCATTTCGGCCGTAATTGTATCAATACCTGGCGCCTTTTTATTTCTCATGGATTTGATAATAGCTTCCACCTCCCTGAACGTGAAAGAAGCATCATCATTTGTATGGGGAGGGTCATCAATAGCTTCCCTCACTTCTTTTTGATAATCATTTTCATTAACTTCCTCATTCTTTGGAAAATGTGTACTCAACAGGTATTGATAAGTATCCCTAAGGCTCAAAGTGCTTGTAACGTCCTGCTTGCTTATAGTTGCAGGGATACATACTGTTTTCCTTGGCTTTAACATTATTGGATAGGGCTCACTCCAGATGCGATTATTCCCTATATCAGAGCAGAAATTTCGCCAAGCTGTGGTACGAGCTTTGTTTATATTCGTTTTGTACTCATTGAATGTATGTATATATTCCGTTTTTTTAACATTCCTTTGTATGGGATCTGTTTCTTTCTGAAAAATTTTGTATAACTTGCGGACCTTTGCTCTTTCTCTTTGTAGGGAGTGGTTCCACCATGGAGCGCTATTGCGTGCCACCTCCCTGACCGTTGTAGATTGGTGATAAGATGTTACTATGGAGTACGTTAGATGCTCTGCCAAGGCCTCAGTATTCTGAATTTCTGACACAAAAAACTGAATATATAGTGATATTTAAATGGCTGGGTGTGTAATAAGTCATGTTACAATATTTACTTCTTTCATTCAGTCGGCTATTTGTGAAACCACTAATAATACAGTAATTAATGTACGCCCTTCGTTAGAAATTATATATTTTTCAATATTAAATGACGTTTCTGAAATGAATGCTTAATGCCTTGACAACATGCAAATTTCAAAAAGTAATGGAGAAGCACGTCCTTTTCAGAAAATTTTATTTTCGAGACGTTTGAAGATCGGAATTACGCTAGTGAATCGCGGTGACAGCGTAATTCGTTTATTTTCTTCAGCTTTTCCTGTTAAATAATTTGTACTAAATTCGTTTAACATACAGAAAACAGAAATATTACCCGAAGAAAAATAATTTTGAAAATAATTTTTGCAAAAATTTCCTTTACAAATTCTTTTCCTTCGTTACATTAATATGACTTTTTTTAATCCTGTTTAGCATTTATAGATAGCATTTACAATTTTGAAAATTCAGATAACAAATTATTCTAGGAATTTTATTTTAAACGCAAAAACGTGTTTGTTAGTACTTTGTATGTTTACAATAAACACGGCGTTTAATTTCATTTTCAATAATTTGTACTAAATTCGTTTAACATACAGAAAACAGAAATATTACCCGAAGAAAAATAGTTTTGAAAATAATTTTTGCAAAAATTTCCTTTACAAATTCTTTTCCTTCGTTACATTAATATGACTTTTTTTAATCCTGTTTAGCATTTATAGATAGCATTTACAATTTTGAAAATTCAGATAACAAATTATTCTAGGAATTTTATTTTAAACGCAAAAACGTGTTTGTTAGTACTTTGTATGTTTATAATAAACAC